AACGTACGAAAGGTCCTCATTTCCTAAAAAGAAAAGAATTCAAGGGATAAAATGGAATACATGGATTGGAATGTTACACCATTTGTTCAGTTTATTAAGGTATCCCAATATGACATAAAATAGTTTGGAAAGAGCCCAAAATAAATGGTGCAACCCACTTATGATAGGAGGATCCCAAAACGACACTCTTTGGAGCCCATTTCCGAATTTAGGCCCAAAGTAGTTATTGACAGCCATTTGCTAAGTTGGCTCAATTCGTTTTTCCATTATTTTTTTTTCCTTTTTATGTATATATCAGTTGAAACAACTGTTAGGATACAAGGGTGCCAACCGCGGGCCCCATAATGTTGTCATTGCCATCTGATACTTTTAAAAAGGAATATGAAAAAGATGTTGGAAGTCCTACGAGTTCCTGGGGTAGTGACCCCCACTTATTTTGGTTCATTGATCGTCGTCAAGATCTTCGTTTGCGACACAAGATTTTCCGGTGACAGGGGCAATGGCTTTTATTGTTCCTTGATGGAGATTGTGGCTTGCAAAAGAGGGATTGAATAATTAACAATTATTATTATTATTATTATTATTATTATTATTATTATTATTATTATTACAAATATCAAAATTGATTTAATTCCTTTTTTTATTATTTACCTTCTATTTTACTCATTTTAATTTATTAATTCTCATAAAATTATAATTTTAACTTTTATTTATCTCACTTATCTTTCTAATCCTTTTTAATAAATGAAGATTTTTTTATCACATGTCACTTTGTTATGAATTATAACACTTGACATTTTATGGTGTTTTGAATTTAATAAAATCCACATGTGATTTTGTTGTATTTATCAAATTTATTTAAAAATGTCACTTAATTATGTATTTATGAGTATTTAAGAATACACGTTCCTTCCAAATTTCAATACCTACATTTAAGGCCATTTAAATCAATATTTCATTTATTTTTCTTATTCGATATTATTAGCCTAAAATTATGCAACTATTTGGCATTCAAATTCACATATATTTTATTTTTTCATAAACTTTCTGATGTATCTATATATGTTATTACGGATTTAAAATTATGCTACTAACATACCTTTTTTTTATATATTTTTCTTAGATTATTTGTTCTTTGTTTTCTTATTTCCAAATAAAACTTGTTTAAACATCTTTTTGAGAATAATAAAATAATAGAAGTTATCAGCAAACTAAATTATTTCATTATAAATATTTAAAATAAAACATTGGTATTACTATGAATATGGTTTATTTTTTATATTAAAATTTAGATTTTATAGTACGATATAATGATTGCATCATTAATCTTGAGTTATAACATATTGTTGATGTTCTAATATTTACACTTTGATATTTAACTTTTATTTTAATCAATATGTAGTACATGCGTCTCACACATAGTCTACTCATCTAGATGAATGTTTTTGTTTTTGTTTTTGTTTTTTTTTTTTTTTTTGTCATATGTCACATTCACATTCAATTTGACAAATATTATTTTGTGGTTATTTTGAATTAATTTCTTTTTCACATATCATTTTATGAGTTTTTCTATTTTAATAAATTCCACATAATACTTTAGTATGATAATTACAATAAATGAATATTAATTTCATTAATGGACTTACCTTCTTATTTCAAAATTCTCAAATTAAAACTCTTTAGTTTATTTTTAATAATTTATTATTTTTCTTATTTTCTTAAAATCCAAAGTTTTTAAATATTTAGACTTTTATATTTAATTTTTTTTAATTAATCCATGTAATAGATGGATCCTACACCTAGTTGAATAATTAACGTTTTCATTCTTAACCCCTTTAAAAGAGTAAATTACACGATTCGTCCCTAGTCCAAATGCTAAATTGCACGTTCTGTCCCTATTTTTAAAAATTAACTCGGGTCGTCCATGTATTATCTTTTTTTCACTCGGGTTGTCCATGTGGACATAAAATGACTATTTTGCCATTCGTTTCCCTCTTTGTCATTCGCCTCCATCCCCGTTCAAAACCCTAGACCCACTTGCATCTTCGTTTGAAATACGAGAATCTGAGGAACAGAGAGGTGCAGGCGATGATGATTCAGTTGCTGGCGAACACTAGATGGTTTGACGATGGCATGCATGAAGCCATGGTCATCTTCTTCGAGTTTGTTTCTCGTTTGGGAGTTGAAGCCATGTCCATGATTTCTCTACATTTCGAAGCAGACCACTTGAAGTTAAACCCAAACCTCTATTTCCTGATTCTAGTTCACTACAGATCAAGATTAGAGAACCCCCTCTCTAATTTGGTCTTTATTTATCTCAATGAAGTGTCGAGAGACAATGAATTGCAGGTTATGGTGTAATAAATTGTCGAACAAGGGATAATGGTGATGGTGATTGTAAAGTTGGTGGCTCCACCGGAGACTGTGGTGATGAGCAGTGGCGGATCTAGAATTTGAAATGGTTGGGGGCACAAATAATACCAATTTTTTTGGAGGTAGGGTTTATAATCTTAAAATATAAAAGTTAAAATTAGGTTAACAAAATTATCTAAAAAACAAACAACAGGTGAAAGTGGACAAAGAAAAAAAAAGTTGTTGGATGTTATGGGGAGGTGAAAGGAGAGTAAAGGGCAATTTTTTTTTCCTTCCAATTACATTGTTGCTAATTTGTTGCTGAAAAAAGAGTAAAAAAGTAAAACAACGGATTGTGGACTTACTTAAACTTTTAGCCAAATGCCCCTATTACTTTTAATCCAACAACTTAAAACTCATATTGGGTTGAGGGCACCTTACACTATATAAATAGTTTAGTCCACAATTAAGTCTAGTCTAATATAAAAAGTTTAATCGATTGGGGGCATGCCCCCTTTGTCTTACACTTGCATCCGCCCCTGGTGATGAGGTGACATTGGTGGTTCCACCGGAGGCTATAATGATGACAATCCTCCATATCCATAAACCGTCTACGACTCTCTCACCAGAGATTGTAATCACATCAGGTAGTTACAGTGGTTGGAAAATGGTATCATTCATTTGGTATGCGAATGTGGTATTTTGGTGGTGATGGTGGTGGGTCGAGATTCTACAGGTGGTGTTTGAAGTGATCATAGGTGGGTTTCCCGGTGGAGGCTGTTTGAGGTGATGTTGTTGGTTAGGTGGTTAATGGAGGGTGGTGTTTTTGACCGGTGTTTGTAAAAGAGGGTGACAATGGTGAAGGAGGTGGTGATTTGTGGTTCTTTTCCGAGAAACATGTATCATAAGGAGTATGTGAAACGGGTGCCTCAATGGAAGAAGGGTGGTGGTCTTGAGCTTTGAACCTGGGAGTGGAGTGAAGTGAGGTGAGGGTAGATTTTCCGGTGGCAGCTCAAATTTCCGGTGATATTGGTGGTGGTTAAGTGTTCTTCAAGAGAGAGAGAGAGAGAGAGAGAGAGAGAGAGAGAGAGAGAGAGAGAGAGAATAGATTGACCTATAATTTTATTTAAAATATTTTTAATAATTAAAAATGATAAAAATAAATGAAAAAAAAATTTACAAAGGGCATTATAGTCATTTTATGTCTCGCAAATGATTAAGCGTGTAAATTTAAACTAACGAGAGATCAAATGTGCAACTTTTAACTAAATGATGGATGATCCGAGTTAATTTTTGAAATTAAGGACCGGACGTGTAATTTATCATTTGGACCATGGACGAATTGTGCAATTTACTCCCTTTAAAATAATAAGGTGAAAACCAAGGTAACATAATTGAGTATATGTGTTTCATTTATATTATTTGTAAATGCGATCTAAATTTAGATTCTTAAATACATTATGGTAATTGTAGTAAGAATTACTATGATTCTCATGTTTTTGGAGAACGGTATTTTAGGTTGCCCATCCCGCGCTTCTTCTTCGCAACTTTTTTTTCTTAGTTGGAAATCTATCCCTTTTCTAGCATGTTTTTTGAATTTTGATTAATGACACTTCCCAAAGCTATTCATGGTGTAGGTGTGCACATATACATGATCTTTATCGTCACCTTCTTTCCGTGGTCTCATAGATGGCGCCAACAATATTTATTGTGTTTTTGAGTGAGAGTCGTTTGTGTATAAGACTTTGAGTGTCAATGAAGTGACCCTGAAACACCACCGAAAATCGTTAGACGAACTTTGGCTATTGACTTAGAAGAACGCTCTGAGGGTCAAACTAGTTCGTGAAGAGAAATTTATGAACTCTAACGTGAAAGAGTGGTTCCATAATTTTTTTACCGTTTTGTGTCCTACTTCTCATAGATTATTTGCTTTATACATTCGTGGATAGATTATCTGCTTTACACATACGTGGATGCATCATTATTATTATTATGAGAGAACGTTCAATAGGTTCCTAAGCCTTATCCAAACGTATCGTTGTCATTTCGCAATTAATACTTGACTGAGTGAATGATACGTTACATTCGTAGATAGATTATCTGCTTTATACATACGTTGATGCATCATTATTATTATCATGACAGAATATTCAATAGGTTCCTAAGTCTTATCCAAACGTATTGTTGTCGTTTCGCCATTAATACTTGACTCAGTAGTGAATGATACGTTAAGGCTTTTTGTCGTTTCGCCATTAGTACAATGACATTTGTCTTGTCATAGTGTGAATCCTCATAAGCATCCAGTATCATGCCTTAACAAAAACCTACCGTAAGAGAAGTATCGTCTTTGTCTTTTCCGATTATAATGTAGTTAACTGATATCCAGACTTTTCTTTAGTTGACCAAGATGTTCTTCGGTAGATCGACGATTACAACCGCCCGAACTTCCTTGGAACTTGGAGCTGTAATCCGGTTATAGAATTCCGGACTCCCTGATAATTGTATTCAGGTAGGTTAATTGTTTGTTGTTGTGGAGGAAGTAACAAAATGTAAGTTACTTGCTTTTTTATAATCTTTAGATTGCGACAAATATCCTTCTAATTTTCTATTAAGATGATAAAACATTCCATTTAACGTGCAGGCCATTCACCATTTTCACTTTCCATTTCTGGTCAAATTTCGGCGACCATTTCCGCCATTATTGATTACACGAGAAATAAGTTCTTTAATGTCCAAAACCCTCGTCCTTACAGGCTTACACTGCCCCCTACAACTCATATCTTTCTCCTGTCGGAAAAAGTTATCTAGATGCTTATTTAATTGATTTGTCATTTCAATTCAATTTAATTCTCCAAACTGGTCAACACCAGTAGAAAAGTTTCCAGATTTCTTGTAATTTTTTAACCCGTTCGTTCACCAACCATCAATCTTTCTCTTGCTGTTATCATTCAAGCAAGTAAGTTCGATTATGATGATTAGAAGTCCCATTACTTTTGTTTATAGTTAAATCAATCAACTTCAGTTACTTGGCCCTCTGTATTTGATTGATTTCGATCTTCATTCTGTGAATAGATTTATTTTTGTTGTTGTAAGTTTCGAGATTTAGTTTGCGTATAGTTGTTCTCGATCTGATAAACCTCAAGTGAGATGGAAAGAAGGTAAAGTTCAGATCATGACTTCCAATCGTCCACTTCCCGATCGTTCTTCATCGACATCCAGTAAGAACTCAGATAATATCTCGATTGCAAATCTACATCAACAACAACGACCAGATACCTTGCAAAATTCGTCTTCCCAGCAAAGCATTAAGTCGAACAGCTGGAGGGCAACCTCTGTAAATTTCGGATCAAAGGGCGTGCGACATGGATCTCGAAGTGGTGCTGATTCCGAAGGATTTAGTATGTCCAGAAGAGAGATTAACGAAGACGATGCGAGGTTGGTTTACATAAACGACCCCTTAAAGACAAACGAGACGTTTGAATTTTCTGGGAACTCTATCAGAACAGGAAAGTATTCTATCTTCACATTTTTGCCTAGAAATCTCTTCGAACAATTCCATAGAGTTGCCTACATGTACTTCCTAATCATCGCCATTCTCAACCAACTTCCCCAGCTTGCAGTTTTTGGGCGTGGTGCCTCAATTCTGCCATTAGCAAGCGTATTACTCGTTACAGCAATTAAAGACGCTTACGAAGATTGGAGACGACACAAATCGGATAAAATCGAAAACAACCAAACATCATCTGTTCTCATCAACGATCGATTTCAACACAAGAAATGGAAAGACATTCAAGTAGGCGAAGTCATTAAAATCCTAGCAAATGAAACGATTCCCTGTGATCTTGTACTCCTCTCAACCAGTGATCCAACTGGGGTTGCTTACGTCCAAACTATAAACCTAGATGGCGAATCAAATCTGAAGACCCGTTATGCAAAACAAGAAACCCTTTCACGAATCCCTGAAAAGGATATAATCAGTGGGTTAATCAAGTGTGAGAAACCCAATCGAAATATATACGGTTTCCAAGCTAACATTGAGATTGATGGAAAACGTCTATCTCTTGGCCCTTCAAATATAGTTCTTAGAGGCTGTGTAATCAAGAACACAGATTGGGCAGTTGGAGTTGCAGTATATGCTGGAAGAGAGACAAAAGCCATGCTTAACAACTCAGGAGCTCCATCTAAAAGAAGTCGCCTTGAAACCCACATGAATAAAGAAATCATCTTGTTATCGATCTTTCTTGTTGGTTTATGCACAATTGTTTCTACATGTGCTGGTGTTTGGTTGAGGCGACATCGAGAGGATCTTGATCTAATGCCCTTTTATAGAAAAAAAGATTACTCAAAGCAAGAAGTGGAGAATTACAACTTTTATGGGTTGGGGATGGAAATATTCTTTTCTTTTTTGATGTCAGTGATTGTGTTTCAGATTATGATTCCCATTTCTTTGTATATATCCATGGAGCTTGTGCGTGTTGGACAAGCTTACTTTATGATCCGAGATGATAAGATGTTTGATTCAACATCGAACAAAAGATTTCAGTGTAGGGCGTTGAATATAAATGAGGATTTAGGACAAATAAAGTATGTGTTTTCTGATAAAACTGGTACTTTGACTGAAAACAAGATGGAGTTCCAATTTGCAAGTATTTCAGGTGTAGATTACAGTGGGGAGAAATCAGAATTTTATGGTGAAGAACAGGGGTACAGCATTCAAGGTATAATAAAAATTTTTCTTTTTTTATTGGGTTAAATTCAAGGTATACTTTTAAGTTTTAACAATTCGTCATCTTTTTTTGTTTTCAGTTCAGGGGCAAGTATGGAGGCCAAAAGTCAAAGTACAGGTTGACCGGAAGCTTCTTAAACTATCACAAACTCGAAATGACACAAAATCCAGCAAAGAGATATATGATTTCTTTCTTGCATTAGCTGCTTGCAATACAATTGTGCCTATTGTTGTTGACACATCTGATCCCAATGAGAAGTTGATTGATTATCAAGGGGAGTCTCCAGATGAACAAGCGCTTGTTTATGCTGCAGCGGCTTATGGTTTTATGCTAATTGAACGAACATCTGGTCACATAGTTATTGATATTCAAGGAGAAAGACAAAGGTATGATGTGTATTCCTTTTTTTTTTTTTTTTGGGTTAATTTAGAGAAATAGCAACTTCGATTGAGCTATTTCTGCAAAATCTAACATAATAGATATGAATCAAAAGCTCAATACATAGAAACAAAATCTCAATCTTTCTAATTTTCCATAATTTCTTTCCGATTTCCCAGTGCAGATTTAACGTTCTCGGAATGCACGAATTCGATAGCGACAGAAAAAGAATGTCGGTTATTCTAGGATACCCCGACACGACAGTAAAAGTATTCGTCAAAGGAGCCGATTCCACCATGTTCAAAGTAATCAACAAAACCCTAAACGTCGATACACTAAAATCAACCGAAACTCATCTTCATTCCTATTCTTCAATCGGTTTAAGAACCCTAGTTATAGCAACACGTGGACTCACAATCCCTGAATTCGACCAATGGCAATCAACGTATGAGATCGCAAGTACTGCTTTAATGGGTAGAGCAGGGTTACTAAGAAAAGTCGCCATAAATTTAGAGAACAATCTTTCGTTATTGGGTGCTTCTGCCATTGAAGATCGATTGCAACAGGGTGTTCCTGAAGCTATCGAGTCTTTAAGAACAGCGAATATGAAAGTTTGGGTTTTAACGGGTGACAAACAAGAAACTGCAATTTCTATTGGCTATTCGTCTAAGCTTTTGACAAGTGAGATGATTCAGATTGTTATTAATAACAATTCGAAAGTTTCTTGTAAAAAAAGTTTGGAAGATGCTTTGATTATGTGTAGAAAAAATGATGCGAGTTCTGTTGCCCTAATTATTGATGGAACTAGCCTTGTTTATATTCTTGACTCTGAACTTGAAGAACAGGTATATAAATTTAAAAAACTAGACATGCTGATGTGGCATCCACATGGATGTTATTGCTATTGTTATTGCCATGTCAGCAGCATGACCTCTAAAATTTTTGTGTTCCAGCTGTTTGAGTTATCCAGTAATTGTGCTGTGGTACTATGTTGTCGAGTGGCCCCACTACAGAAAGCTGGGATTGTTGCACTCATAAAAAATAGGACAGATGACATGACACTTGCTATTGGGGATGGTAAGTAAATAAGCATCGTATCTTTATATGTCCAAATTGTTAAAAATCAAAATGGTTTTACAAAAATAAACAATTTGTTTTTTTTTTTTTTGTTTATTTTTCAGGTGCGAATGATGTGTCAATGATTCAAATGGCTGATGTGGGAGTTGGAATCAGTGGGCAAGAGGGTCGCCAAGCTGTGATGGCATCAGATTTTGCAATGGGACAATTTCGGTTTTTGGTCCCACTTTTATTAGTCCATGGTCATTGGAATTACCAAAGAATGTCCTACATGATCCTATATAATTTTTACAGAAATGCCCTTTTTGTCCTTGTCTTATTCTGGTAACTCTCTCTTACTCTACTCTACTCTACTACCTTTATTGTTTTATTATCTTTTTAGAATGCTAAATGCAATACACCATCCTACTTTCATTTCTTCCTATTACAACATTCTACTTTCATGTTTATTTGAAAATATGTTTTTTTTTTTTTTTTTTTTAATGTTATTTATCTGATAATACAAAGATGTTTTAAAAAAAGGTTTTTATATAGAAAAAAGAAGGTTTTTTTTATGTGAAAATATGTTTTTTTTTTTTTTGGTATAAATATGATTTTATACAGCAAAAAAAAAAAACATATTCGAAACAAATTTTTGAAAATAAAGATGTAAAAAAACTAAATTTAGGACGACTTCGTAACAGAATTTTGAAATCTGGGCCAAAAGTATAATAAAATTTAAAATCTAGACCAAAAGTGTAAATTTTGAAAGTCAGATGACCTGTTGACCGGTCGCCGGTTTTTGGGACTTAATTGAATAAAAAAAATATATAAGGATTAAATCAACCAAAATATAAGGACTTTTATAGAGTTTTCCTTAAACAAATCAAAGAAAAGCATGTTGCTTTTTTTCATGCATTTAACCCAAAAACTAACATCGGTATATTATTAGACATGATAAATATCCATTCTGATATAAACATAATTTCATTTATCCATCCTTGTATTCCTTCCTTATTACAATTCACATCCTCATACTTTCAATATTTTCTAGTTAAGCCCTTGTACTTTGAAAAATCTTCTCAATTACAACATTCAACCAAAGTAGGTTGCTATTTTTATCATTATTAACAAAACTCGACTCCAGGTATGTCCTTTTCACGGGATTCACTCTAACAACAGCCATAACAGAATGGAGCAGTGTCTTATACTCAGTAATCTACACAGCAATTCCCACAATCGTAATTGGAATTCTTGATAAAGATCTTGGAAGAAAATCTCTCATGGCATACCCTCAACTCTATGGGGCAGGACAAAGACAAGAAAGCTACAATTCAAAGCTGTTTTGGGTGACAATGGCCGACACGTTATGGCAAAGTGTAATTGTCTTTTTTGCCCCTGTATTCGCATATTGGAAAACCGATATTGATGGATCGAGTTTAGGAGATTTGTGGACACTTGCAGTTGTGTTCATAGTGAATATACATTTGGCTATGGATGTGATAAGGTGGAGTTGGATTAGTCATGCTTCCATTTGGGGCTCCATTTTTGCTACTTGTGTTTGTGTTGTTGTTATTGATGCTATTCCCGTTTTGCCTGGATACTGGTACGTAAAATAGCATCCTACTTTTCATTGATTTCTTTCTTATAAATCTACAAAAGTTAAAGTGTCTTGATTTTGTAAAACTACAGGGCGATTTTTAATTTAGCAAGAAGTGGATTATTTTGGATTTGTTTGTTTGGGATTCTGATAGTGTCAATGATTCCTCGGTTTGTTGTAAAGATGTTTATGCAACATTGTAAGCCTTCAGACACTCAAATAGCAAGAGAAGCAGAAAAGTTTAGGAATTCAATGGTGTTAACAAGAAATGGAGGAATAGAAGAAATAGAAATGAACAACCCACCTCAAAGATAGATGATGATGATGATGATGATGATGATGATGATGATGATGATGATGATATCATATTCTTTTTTTTTTTTTGGTTTTAATTTATAAAAAAATGTCATATTCTTGAGAAGTTGATGGAGCAATTCTCTCCATTGTTGTGTATTTTTTTGTTCATTGATAGTATGCAATTATTCTAAACTTGTATACTACTCTTTGTATAATTTTTTTTTTCTTGTCACATGAATTAGAGGATTCAAAATTCTTTAAATTTGTTTATTTTGTTTTTTACTATATGCGAGATTATTGTTTTAGAAATATATAGGGTGCGTTTGTTTGTGGAAAATTTTCTAGGTTTACATGAAAATTTTCAAATTAAAATGAAAATTTTGAAAATGCGTTTAGTTGGTTTAGTTTTCAAATTTTTTTCAAGAAAATGAAAATTTTTCTGTCTCCAAATTATATGTAAACTAGAAAAATGATTTTTATAGTTTTTCAAAGTTTTTTAAATTTCAAAGATGGAAAATGAAAATCTCCATCAGTTTTAACCGGATATGTTTTCAAAAAATTCATTACAAAACTAAAAATGAAAATTAAACTCTATTTTTTGAAAATGATTTTTAGAAAAATGAAAATAATTTTCCATAATCAAATGCAACTATAATGTTTTAAATATGTTAAATAATCATATACCATGATTATATTGAGACCAATTTTCGTATGGTTTCAGAAATTAGCATTATAATTTTGTCATCATATATTACTTTTAAAAAAAATGAATAGCTAATGTCATAAACCTGTGAGCTATCGAGCTAGCCTTTGCTGACACAACACAACTGAAAAAGTTCGTGAGTTCAATTTATTCTTCGTGAAAGATATTCATATAATAGATTCAGTGATTTCCACCAAATAAGCTTGATAACCATTCAATTCACGACTTGCTATTTCCCCTCGATAACATTAACATTAAGGGAAAATGACTTAAAAATGTAACTAAGTATCAAAATTGTACAAAAAAGACCATTCTTCTTATTTGTGTATAAAACATACCAGGTATTGTAGGTCACAATCAGGTCAGTCGTTTTTTTTTTTTTAAATAATAATAACAGGTATTGTACGCATTTCCTTCATCGTTTCACCCAAATTGAAAGAACTAGGGTTTTTCCTTCGTCAATTCCATAGAAATCGCCATGGCTTCAACATCGAAGGAGGAGTGCTTGAAAATTGAAGCGAATCATACATGCTCTTTTGTCCCAATCCCATTGTGTATTTCAATCCCGAGAATTTGGTTGTTAGCAATGTCAACTTTAGAAGCATGACCTTCACAGAGTTCATCTCTTATGTAAAGAAGTTGGTAAAGGATGGTAGAATCACTGTCTACTATTTTGTTCTACAACGTTTACTAAGAGATGGGTTGAGAGAAATTGAAGATGAAAATGATTATGTATGTTTTCTTGATGCTGGATATGAGAATGGTGGAAGAATGAATTTCTACATTGATCATAGTCAGGAACTAATTATGGAGTGGATTGTAGAAGAAATAGCCGACGATGGATGCTCAGATGGTCATACTAATGATGATGATGATGATATATAATTTGAACTTTCAGATAATGAGTTTGTTGAGCATGAACATGATGATGAAGTGATACAAATACAACCATCTAATAATCATTTCCTTGGATGAAAAATTGCTAGGCCAACAAGAGTCGTAGATGATAAGAAATATGTCAAGGTGTAACACTTAAATTTGGTATGTTTCCATTTAACCCCCCATTTTTATTGTAAAACATTGCAGTTTGGTCCTAGTGGTTAGTATGCGGGGCGTACTAGCTGGTTTATGATCGCGGGTGTCGTCCTCATACACTGGCCCAGGGAAAACCCTAATTTTTAGGGTTTGTGCCCTATTTAAGCCTTATTAACTCACCTCTTGGACATTTTAGACCACCCTCCACCCTTTGAAAACCCTAGTTCGTCCCTTGCCTTTATGTGGTGCTTTTGAGCTATTGTTTTGTTCATTTGAGGGTTTTGTACCTTGAAGTGGTAGAAAAAGAAGCTTGAAGACTCATTCTTTGGAGGGGAGCTTATAGATCCAACTTTAACACCTTCATTTCGTGGTTTTTGAGGTATAAAGTTCAAAGCTTGTCATCTCATTTCATAGATCTATTCCTTGGCTTGCTTTTGGCTTCTTGGTCCCTTTTTGGTTGGTTTTGTGAGCTAAGGTTGTTTTTGGAGCCTATCCTTGTAGATATGGGCATATTAAGGGTTTCTTAAGCATAAAGGTGCAAACTTTATGGTGGTTTTTGGTCTTATGCATGTATTAAGTCATTTATTAAGATCTTTTGAGCTCTAGAGCCCCATTAAGCCATGCATACATGTAAAGATGGCAACTTTGCGTGCTAAACCACCTTACGGATGTCAGATCTAAGATTTGGGTCGAGGTCTTAACCGAATAGGTGCTGAATGAAGAAATTTGGCTGAGCTGGGAGTACATTGCGTGTACAAGCTGGTACATCGTGCGTACAAGCCCCAAAGAAAGTACGCTTAGTGTATGAGGTGAGTACGCCCCGCATACTCAGCAGATGGGCTTCGATATGTTGGGCTCACGGTGTTGGGTCATGTTTGGACACTAGATGATTATGGAATTGTTGGGCCATCACGATGTTAGGCCATTACAAATACGAGATTCATTATCATCCAGGCAAAGCCAATGTAGTAGCAGATGCCCTGAGCCAAAAGGAATACTCGGATCGTTGAGTAAAATCATTAACCATGACTATCCATTCACACATATCCACCCAGATCAAAGAGGCTCAGCTAGAAGCCTTGAAACCGAAAATGTCACAGGTGAATCCTTAAGAGGAATGGATAAAAATTTAGAAATCAAGGGAGACGGAGTTTGTTATCTCATGAATCGGATCTAGACACTGAAGTTCAATGGGTTCAGAGATGTTGTCATGAATGAGGCTCACAAGACTCGATACTCCATTCATCTCGATTCAGACAAGATGTACATGGACCTCAAGAAGCTTTATTGGTGGCCAAACATGAAAGTCGAAATCGCTACCTATATGGGCAAGTGCCTGACTTGCGCCAAGGTCAAGCTAGAATATCAGAAGCCCTCGGGTTTGCTACAACAACCAGAGATATCCGAGTGGAAGTGGGAGTGGATAACTATGGACTTCATAATCAAGTTATTGAAGATGATAGGTGGACTGCCACCATCTGAGTGATCATCGACTTGTTGACCAAATCCGCACACTTCCTACCAATAAAAGAGACAGATAAGATGGAGAAACTGACCAAAACATACATTAAAGAGATCGTGCGACTGCATGGAGTGCCAATATCCATTATCTCCGATAGGGATAATAGATTCACCTCACAGTTCTGGAAGTCACTACAAAAATCCCTAGGAACTAGGTTGAAAATGAGTACGGCCTACCACCCACAGTCCAACAGCCAGAGTGAAAGAACTATTCAAACATTGGAAGCCATGCTGAGAGCTTGTGTGATAGACTTTGGTAAAGGTTGGGATACCCATTTACCCCTAGTCGAGTTCTCATACAACAATATGATGGGTTATGCACAAAACATCAATCCTATGGTGTACTTACAACCCTAATTGATTTGATCCAGGTTTTTCTAAGTAAACATACAACATTGAATACCAAAGCAATAAACCCTATGAACTAGCATATAACAATCACAAATTGGCATATAAAACAGGGTTTAAATCTTACCTTTCTTGTTATGTATTAATAACAAGTTCTCCTTGAATATCCTTGACCTTTGAAAGCTTAGTGCATCAATTGTTGCACCTCTAATGGAGTTACAAACACCACTAGCAACAAGATGACTTAGGAGAGGGAGGAGGAGGCGCCAAAAACATCTAGGGTTCTCTTAGAAGTGTTAGCCATGTTTTTGGGAGCCTTAGAGGTCTTTATATACTTGTGAGGGTTGTTAGGGTTTCAGGTGAAACCCTAATTCTTTGTTAGGCCTTAAGCAACCCATGGAGTTCCTCTAGAAATCCCTTGGACGAAAATCATATGGCTTCCCATAGATTTCGTCCAATGCCCTTTCCATTAATAATCCATAGCCCAATTTGCAAGTATCATATAATTGCAATATCAGTCCTTTTTATTTAATTAATCTCTTTTAGTCACAAAACTAGTTCTTAATTAACTCTTGACTAATATTAATTAAACAATATGTTTCTCCTTTAATATATTATTCTTATAATATATTAATAAATCATAATTAATCCTCTTTCTCCTTAATTCATCCTATCAGTTGCTATGGTGAAGGCAACCCAAAAGGACCATGCTCATAATCGGGTCAAGTACATACCAAAAATAGTTATGGGCTTAGACACCTAATCCAACAGTCTCCCACTTGGACAAGTCTAATAACTACTTTGCATATGACTTCAGAACCTAATCAGCAATCGTAGCTTTCAAAAGCCGCTGTCAACTCTGATCTTATCAATAACGCATCCTTTAGATAAGGGATCATATATTCCTCCATTCTAGATATCGTATAAACTGAGACATGGATTTTAATCATACTCTCTATTCATGTGTTGTTTCCCGATATCCGATTTATGACGACTGACAACATACTACAATTGAACACATCAACTTTTAGTCCTGGATTGGCCAAGCGCTGAGGGTGTCATCACTAAATCATCGAGGGGCCCATAAATATCGCTTTTATCCCACTTTGGGTAAAAGGAGCGGATAAACTTCGACTCAATTGCTCGCTTGTATCTACTCATCAAATCACACACAACAATATGTTTTATAACACCGAGTTATTGGTGCGTTTACATATTATCAATGTGCAATCGACTTGTAGAATACAACTCATAAGTCTCGGTTTCAAGAATATAAGATATTATCGTATCACTAATCACCCATGATAAAATCCATGAAGTGATTTAAGTGAGCGTGGGTTTAATCCAATACTCAAATCTTATTTCAGGAGTACTCATGAACACTGCAGCAGACTTTTGCTGTGTCTAAGACGCTTCAGACAATCTATAGTCGGATTCATGATAGTCTAGCTTCAATACCTATTTCCAAAGTATTTATCAACTATGGATGGTTTGAATAATCTTATTATTCGGGAAGTCAAAACATGCAAAGTAAAACACAAGAATAATACTAATCCTATATGGCCCCAAACTTTTGAGTATAAATAAAACACTTATATTTAATCAGCATATTGGTTACTCATTATTCATTGTATAATGTTTCGGGTAATCAACTTATTACTTGAATTATAACATCAGTTGTCCCATGCTCCAAACATGCACACTATGTTTACCTGTGGTCGTAACTTTGTGAAATAGATCAATTGAAAACATTTCCAATGATGCTCATTTTACAACCCCTAATCCTTATCGTTAGTGTAAGAATACAAGATTCTTGCCACTACTAGAATATGCTAGATTCTAACATTTTATGCAACGATCCCTTCGCAATGTCATAGCATCAAATCCACCAAGACTTTGCCAATGATATTACAAAGTGCTCTATTGGAGATTGCTACAAGGCAATTCCATAGATATGAAGTCTCACATTCAAAGTACATTCCTTTGAACATACTTATTGCATAAAAGTTTCTAATCTAGACATAGATTCTCAATATCCAACTCCCAATATGGAAACATTTCCATATTTGCCATACGACAAATCGTTATTATTAGAATCATATATAATCATAATAATGTCATTGTGGTTCATTCGTTACTATACTTCCAACTGCCCACAAGTGACCAATCATTGGTGAACCTTAGATTGTCCTTGACAGTTGTTTAATTAATTTAGTCAAATCCGGTTCTAGTCCTTTTTCCCTCTTAATTCCCTAGGCATTTGGAAAATTTAGAATGTTCGAATGTTACAATATACGTAATCGATCCTATACCCGAAGCGTCACGATTCATAATGAAAAACGTGACACTTTACCAGTTTCTTGCTATAATACTGCCATATATAGAATGCCCCTGTGTTAAACCTTTTCAACATAACATTCATATATGTATTATGACTAAATTCAATTAAAATTTCTCAATCTAAGCTTTTAGATTTGAAATGAAGTATATTATTCTCTCCCTTAATTTTAGCAAAACAACTTTTCAACTCCTGCAACTTTGCAAAGAGAAACTTTTGTTGTCTATAATTAATATTGCTAACTTTCAACACTTAAAATAATAATCATGCTCCCACTAACATGATAATTATATTCATGCCAGTATAACATTTATGCTCCCACTAGCTTTGACACGTATTCAGAAATCAGTTGGACTTCTAGAGAGAAATACTTATTGACTTCCAAAGTTCATATTTCTAATACGATATGCTTCGATAAGCCTGTATCTAAGCTTCTCAAACTCATAGACCTTTCCTTAGATAGCTCATATGTGTGTCTAAACAATTTCAACACTTATATCAATAAGTATTAAATGTTTAAACTAATTGCCAAATCTCACAATTCGAACCATGAAGAGGGATGTAGTAATCATAATCGAATTTGAGAATGCAATTATCACACTTTCTATCTCCTTAAAATCTCTCTTAGTGAAAGCATTTCCTT